TAGTCACTTAATTGTCAGCTTCAAAATCTTCCTGTAAAATGAGGATCTTCCATGAAGCTTTTCCAAAGAGGATATACAAGTCAAAACACTGAAATATAACATTTTGAATTTTGATAACTAGATTGTGCATTCCTTGTATACTGGCTCACACAAACACCTCATTTCAACTGCTTTGGTCCGTTCGAAGATTTCTACAGTAATAATGCAGAAAAGACAGAAGCGTTTGATAAACAGGACGGGTTGGTGACAGAGTGATCTGGGATGCTTGGTAAACAAGTAATGTATTTTAATATGCTACATGTACAGTAAATGTATTCATGTACTCACACAAAGAATGTACGCCATACTTACTGGATGAGATATTCTACCCTCAGAAGTGGTGACTCTAAAAAAGATTTGAGGGCCTGATGGATAATTAGTTAAGCATGGGACCCCAGAGCAAAATAGCTAATATAATTCTTGGATGCATACTGGGGATGGGGGGTGAGGGGGGGTGGGACGCTGCAGTAAGTATAGTGAGGTTATATTACCTCTTTATTTGGCATTCTTGTGACCACCGCTAGAATACTGTGTCCAGTTCTGGTCTCCACAACTCAAAAAAGATGTTGACAAATTGGAGAGAGCTCAGAGAAGGACCATGAGAATTATTAAAGAAATAGAAAACCTAACTTTATAATGATTGGGCTCCTTGAGTCTCTCTACTTAGTTTAACAAATAGTTTAAGGGGTGACTTCAAGTCTTTAAATAGCTATATGGAGACCACATATTTAATAATGGACTCTTCAATCTAGCAGAGAAAGATATAAAGCAATGACTAGAATTTGAAACTAGGTAAATTCAGACTGGAAATAAGATGTACTTGACAGAGGAGGAAATTAACCACTGGAACAATGTACAAACAGTTGCGATGGATTCTTTCTCTCTGACAGTCTATAAATCAAGACTGGATGCTTGTCTAAAAGAGATCTATGAGAATTATTGTGGGGAAGTTCTATGGGTGGTGCTATACAATGGGTTAGACTAGATGATCTCAATGGTCTCTTCTGGGCTTGGAATCCATGAATGTATAAAATTATGTGTATGAAAGGAATGCAGCATTAAACCCTATGATCCTCATTTCCACTATCTCGGGCCTTGATTTAGCAAAGTCATTGGGACTTTTGCAGATTCTCAAGTGCTCTACTGAATCAAGAACTCACTGTAGCCCTTAGCCAGGTTATTAATGTCATGCCTCATTTCCATTACACCAGATGACAGTAATATTGTGCAACAGCATATAGCAATATTGACAAGTCTTAAAGGGATTTTGTGAATCTAAATGTTTTTGAAGAGATAAGAACACCCCAAATTAAAGCTGCTGTATAATGCAAGCTTAAAAGTGAAACTGATGTTTCTCTCCAGCTACTGGCTATGTGGCTGCCTCCTGTTCCTCCCGAGCACTTGCACTGCTTGCCACCGCCTAGTGAGCAGGGGCTGAGCACAGCCCACAGGCGATGGGGATGGGGAGGGAGGAGAGGAAGGGAATAGCCAGGGTATGGGGCAGAGGATGACTGGAGCCTAGGGACCCATGAAATTTGGAACAGTTTGGTGCTCCAAATGTCATGGTGCCCTAGGGATGGCCCTATATTCTGGTATTACAAGGCATTCAGGTTGGACTTTGATGGTGCTTTAAATTGACAAGAAATTATCAGTAAATGAACAATCTATGCCTATGCAGAAAAACTCTCCCCTGAACTGAGGGCTAACACGAGGCTCCTATTTACTAGTTAAGTCTCATCTAAGCCTTCAAAATAGCATTTACTTGGGACTTAACTAGCATTTTAGAATTTGTTTGCTAAAAGGGAGGAGGAATTCATTGTAAATCTGAAGATTGAAAGTAACTTGGATGAGAGTGATTGTGAAATGATAGATTTTATGATTCTAAGGAAAGGAAGAAGTGAGAGCAAGAGATCAAGGACAGTATATATTTAAAAAAGCAGAACTTAACAATCTCTGAGAACTAATAGGCAAGGTCCCATGGGAAGGAAAATCAAAGTGAAAGGGGAATTTAACAGTTACTCTACGAGACAATATTGAAGACACCACAACAAGCTATCCCAATGAGAAGGAAAGACAGGAAGAATAGAAAGAGGCCAATATGGCAGCATTAGTAGCTTTCTAATTGACATGACAAATCAGAAAGGAATCCAAGTGGAAACATGGACAAAGTACTCAGGTTGAGTACAAAATAGTGCAAGCATCTAAGGATACAATCAAACAGGCTAAACGAAGCATGCCTCGCAAAGGGACATAAGTACATAAGAACATAAGAATGGCCATACTGGGTCAGACCAAAGGTCCATCTAGCCCAGTAGCCTGTCTGCCGACAGTGGCCAGCACCAGGTGCCTCAGAGAGGGTGAACCGAAGACAATGATCAAGCGATTTGTCTCCTGCCATCCTTCTCCAGCCTCTGACAAACAGAGGCCAGGGACACCGTTTCTATCCCCTGGCTAGGCCTAACCTCCATGAAATTCTCTAGCTTCTCTTTAAACTCTGTTATAGTCCTAGCCTTCACAGCCTCCTCTGGCAAGGAGTTCCACAGGTTGACTACATGCTGTGTGAAGAAGAACTTTCTTTTATTAATTTTAAACCTGCTACCAATTAATTTCATTTGGTGTCCTCTAGTTCTTCCATTATGGGAACTAATAAATAACTTTTCTTTATCCGCCCTCTCCACACCACTCATGATTTTATATACCTCTATCATATCCCCCGTCAGTCTCCTCTTTTCTAAACTGAAAAGTCCCAATCGCTTTAACCTCTCTTCATATGGGACCTGTTCCAAACGCCTAATCATTTTAGTTGCCCTTTTAGTTGACCTTTTAGCAGTAAGAGCAAAACAAAGATGAAGTAAACTGTAAGTCCACTAATTAGGCAGACACACACCTAACCACGCTAAAAACCCTGTTTTGTTTCAATCTTTACTAAAAAGGTTAATTCTGACCAGATAGAGAACATACATAATATTAACAACCAGGGGACATAAGCCAGAACAGGTAAATAAAAGATTAACAAATATTTAGACAAGTTAGCTGTAGGCATGTCAGCAGGGCATGATGACATTCATCCGCTGGCTAGCTGAAGAAATCTCAGAACCATGAGTGTTCATCTTCAAGAACTCATGAAAGAGGCTGAGCCCCTCAGGACTGAAGAAGGGCAAATATAGTACTTGTCTTTCAAAGGGGGCACAAAGTGTATGCAGGGAATTACAGAGCAGGCAGCTAACTTTGCTATTTGGAAATACACTGGAACCAATTATTTAACAATCTATCGTAAGCACCTAGCGAACAATAGGGTTATAAGTAATAATCAGTGTGGCTCTGAGAAGAATAAATCATGCTAAATTAGCCTAATTTCCTTTCTTGACAAGGTTGCTGGCCTAGTAGATGGGGAAAACAGTAGACATGATTACCTTAAATAAGACTTTTAACATAATATTAAGCAAACTAGGGAAATGAAATGATTATAAGATGGGTGCGCAACTCGTCGAAAAAGTGTCTTCAAAGAACAATTATAAATGTGTTAATTTCAAAGTAGGAGGGCATATCCTGTGAGGTTCCACAGGAATCAGTCCTGAATCTGGGACTATTCAATATTCACATTAATGACTTGGAGGCATCCTTCACAGTAATTTTTGGAAGACTAAGTCATTACTCTCCCAAACATAGACACAAGGGGAGAGAATTTTGAAGCGATAATCACTACTGTTGAATTAGACAAGGGGGTCTCTCTTGATAGCAAGGCTTGTTGTCTTTCTGTAGTTTCTCACTGATCCAGGGAGAAGGCTTTAGGTGTAAGGGATCCATTAACTTTCGTTGTTTAAATTAACACGTTTATGGTATAAGGTAATTTGATGCGAAGATTTTTACCACATTTATCACTATGATGCGTGAATGCCATATGACACATGTATTTCTTTCTTTCTTTGTTTTTGCTCAGCACTTGCAGAAAGTGCTCTCAAATGCTTCTATACATTTTTCCTGTTTATTATGTGTCTTCAGTACTCTGTATAGCACAGGAAATTCTGTGCTTTGATATGCAAACAGACACACATATTGGGATTAGGTACACTGGAAAGTACAAAGTGTTTTGTATTAAAACTTAAGGGTGCACTTTTCAAAGATCAATGGGTTTGTGCTCCTAAATCACCCAGGCACTTTGAAAAATCCCTACTGAAATGCTTAATTGTAACTCACCAATGCCATAACATATGGTCATAAATAACAGAAATGTTTCTAACAGAATACTCTAGCATTTCAATGTACTGTAAATGAACTCTTCTGAACTGGAAATCTGTTGTAAACATACTACTTTAAAAGCAAATATGAAGTTGATGTTAGGACCTTCCAGAATTAATAAAAACAAAGAATAAATAACAATTTGATTGACATCTTAGTGAATTATATCTACATTATATGAGATATGATTATTTTAGTATAATTACTAATAACTGTACAATATAAATGGTTTTCTGTAGAAAAAGGACAAAGTAGCATGACTTTTTTCACATGAATTCACAGATAAAATACATTGATTTGCATTGATGACTGGGGTTATGTCTTCACAGCAAAAAGTGGTGTGTTACATTAAGACTACTGACTTGAGAGAGCCTGTCTAATGTAAAATCTTAGTGAAGACAGAGCACAGGCAGTTTTTACACTGATGTATCCAGTTGAGGTCAACCCTATGTCTTCCATCCAGAACCTATATTGTCTAGCTCTATGGACTTAAAAACTATTTGTGCCTTATTCCACTAAGAGTTTACATTAAGAGAGCTATCTGGATGTAAGTATTCACCTCTTTTGCAGTGAAGACATAGCCTTGCTGGCCTTTGATGAATTATTGAGTTTTGCCCCAATGCAGAATAATCAATTATATGTGTCCACAATTCATAGTCATCCACTCAATATGGCTCATGTATTTTGTAAAAACATGAGGTCTTATTATTATAATCCCTCACCTCAGTACTCTGCTATTGAATCTTTGCTGAGAAGTGGGGAGCAACAACTGGGATTTGTGTCTGAAATGAGAATAAATTTTACCTAATTTCTCTATAATAACAGAACAATAAAAATGTTTTAAATGTCTTCAGAAGATCACATTACTGGAACATTTTAAAAGATGTATTACAGACACATTCGAAATATTTGAACAGTGCAATGTAAATTTGTTGTACCATGATATCCCTTGAATAAAATCTTTATCTTTTATTGAGTTTAGAACTATGGAAATGAATGAACATTCAAAATTCAATCTGAACTCTCCATACATTCAAAAATAAATAGCACGCATATATGTAACATCAAAAGCATTGCCAATGATACACAGTACCTTTTTTTTTCATTACACCATAAATTATCTCGTACTTCAAAAAGTGGAGGTGGTTGAATTCAAGCCGTCTCCAATTTTTAATAAAATATTGTTTGTTTTAAGAGAAACAGATGTAAATTTAATCTCTAACTACTAGAGAACTATCGTAAAATGTTATGCTTAATATAAGCTCTTTTACTACTTCAAAGCACTTCTTTAAATGTAGAGTACAAGGTGTACTGTAGTAGTATCTATGAGAGAGTGTTCTCTCCCAGTAACACAGCAGATTTAAAGTTTTAAAAAGTAAGAGGGAAATGTATAATATTGATGGGTACATAAATCACTATTTAAAATACATAGCATACTAATAAAAAGAGTCAGTTGTGCAAGAAAATAGAAAGAAACTCCCCTCAAATTCAAAGGCAAACTCCATTCACGAACATATGCAACTACATGTGGTATGAATCCAGGTGGACAGTGTGAAATTGAGCAATTAACTACATTAGGAGTGAACAGTGAATGCTACCCTAAAAGAGGTTAGACAGCTTTTTTTTTTAGCTTAGCTTAGCTTTTTTTTTTTTAAGCTTAGGCCGTTTATTTCTTTCCACCCAAGGACAATAAACCCCAAAGGGACTGAAACAAATGCTGGAGTGGAGGTTATTAAAAAGAAAAGCGTTTTGTGAAATTGAGCAATTAACTACATTAGGAGTGAACAGTGAATGCTACCCTAAAAGAGGTTAGACAGCTTTTTTTTTTAGCTTAGCTTAGCTTTTTTTTTTTTAAGCTTAGGCCGTTTATTTCTTTCCACCCAAGGACAATAAACCCCAAAGGGACTGAAACAAATGCTGGAGTGGAGGTTATTAAAAAGAAAAGCGTTTTGGTGGTTTTAACCGAAGGATTTAATAAAAAAAAATATGTGACACTAATAGGGAGGAACACACAACCAACGAGGGGCGATGGGGAAGTAGCCACGGAGGCAGGGGCAGCACAAGGGACAATGGACAGCTCCTTACTTACCATCTTCATTTTCATCAAACACGGGAGTTTTGTGGGAGTGACTGCCACCCATATTAGTCCACAGCTTCTTCCACATGCCCAGCCACAATCTCCACGGGGCAAGTGGCCAGCATGCCCGGGGCGGGTTCCAGACAAAGACACCAGCCCACTGGTGAGAGATTGTCCCGGGCTCGGAGCCCTCCCTGTCTCCCGCCGGCTCTGGAGCTAGGAGGGAGTGCCCGCATGCCCGGCCATGCTCTCACGCCTTCAACCTCCTCTCCACGCCCAGGGCTCCCTTCCGATCGCCGCTCAGAGTCGGGCTGCGGCTGCTCGGGGAATCCTCGGGGGGGTTAGAAATCATCCTGCGAAATGAAAGTGATCCATCTGCCTCTGACAGGAATTGCTGCTGCTACTTACTAACTTGATACATATTTCATAGCAGACAGCCAGGGGCGGGGGGAAGGGAGCTGGGGGAGGGAGGGGGCTCGGTCCTGCTGATGGTTGCCTTTGGTAAAAGGGAAAAGCTGGATCTACCTGGAGCCTGCTGAGTTGGGTACCCAAGAGCCCAAATCCCGTTGCCTAAAGTGAGGCACTAAATAGCCTCGCACGCCTATTGCTCCCGCCCTCCCCTCCTCCCCCATGCAACTCGGCACATCAGAGCTACAAGGAGGGGGCAGCACCCACATCCTGCTAGTTCCAGCTAATTTCCCCCTTTCCCTCGCCCCAAACTCCACTAGCCAAGCAGGAGAGTGGAGCCGCTCCTATGCCACCAAAGCCAGGACTCGGATGTACCCCCGGCGCAGCCTCCCTGCAAAAGCCTGGCTTCAGCATCTGGAACTTGCCAAATGGACACAGAGGGGCTCCCCGCGCCAGACCAGCTCCTGGTTGTATGCAGGCGGGGCCCCAAATCTGAACTCCAACATTTGCTGTAAGAAAGCCGCAGAAACTCTCGTTCAGCACCGGTGGCCTTTGCGTGAAGCTAATGTTAGGTAGCAGCTTCCTACGCCACCCTCAAACTCTTGTTACCCACATTTACCACGTCCACCCCGGAAAACTATGGATCTCACCATACGGGGTGCAAACACTTGCAACCAGAGGCCGAATCTGAGTTTTTGAGGTGCTGCAGTATATCGGGGTCTAGATTTTAAGGTGAAGTGGGAACAATTAAATCAGTTCTCCACTTCAGCTTTCGTCACTGGGACCAAAAATTATCTGGATCTAGTAGGCGGCTCCGGGGTTTTTCTGTGTTGCGGGCTGGGCGGATTGTTTGTATCAGTGGGAGCTGCTGGAGTTCTTCTCAGTTTAGCTATTGGAATTTAGGGATCTGGGGTTACAATTTGGAAGGATCCATCCAGTTTTCTCCCGACACCGAATCTTTCTCAGACACTGCCTAGTGGTAGTGCAGGGTGTGGTTTGTGCATTTGGGCGAAGTCTATTGAAGGTTCCTGCGCACCCTCAATATGCGAAGCTACACGTCTGCAAACTAACGGTCCCATTACACCCCTTAGGGCAGTAGAATTGGGGGCTGGGTCGGAGGTACAGGTGGGAGAGTTCTCTTCAGCTGTGAGTGCCAAGCGATGGAGCCAAACATGAAACGTGCTGGGGGACAAACTGCCCCATGGCAGCTCGGGGCACATTTAGGTCAGCTTCTGAGCTGCTCTGACAACTGCAGGTGAGGAGGATCTGCGGTAAAACAAAACAAAAAAAAACCTCATGCAATTAAACAAATGGGAAAAGGCAGAGCCCGGCCAAGGGGTCGCAGGGATCCTTAGTTCGACTTGATCTAAGCAGGGAACGGGTTAAGGAATCTAAACAAACACCTCTTCCCCCAGTAAACACTGGGGATGTTCGGCCTTACAGTGCCACCTGCTGGCTCAATTGAGCACACTCTGGCCTGTGCAAGCAACCCTGAGTCTGGACACAGCAGAGTGTTTTTTTCGGGAAAAGTAGCCTTTTTCCGAAAAAACTTCACCTGCATCTAGGCTATGTCTAGACTGCAAGCCTCTTTCGAAAGAGCCTCTTTCGAAAGAGCCTCTTTCGAAAGAGCCTCTTTCGAAAGAGCCTCTTTCGAAAGAGCCTCTTTCGAAAGAGCCTCTTTCGAAAGAGCCTCTTTCGAAAGAGCCTCTTTCGAAAGAGCCTCTTTCGAAAGAGCCTCTTTCGAAAGAGCCTCTTTCGAAAGAGCCTCTTTCGAAAGAGCCTCTTTCGAAAGAGCCTCTTTCGAAAGAGCCTCTTTCGAAAGAGCCTCTTTCGAAAGAGCCTCTTTCGAAAGAGCCTCTTTCGAAAGAGCCTCTTTCGAAAGAGCCTCTTTCGAAAGAGCCTCTTTCGAAAGAGCCTCTTTCGAAAGAGCCTCTTTCGAAAGAGCCTCTTTCGAAAGAGCCTCTTTCGAAAGAGCCTCTTCGAAAGAGAGCGTCTAGACTGCACGGAGAAATTTCGAAAAAGCGGCTTGCTTTTTCGAAAGAAAGCATCCAGTGAGTCTGGATGCTCTCTTTCGAAGACGGCCTCTTTACATTGAAGAACGCCTTCTTTCGAAAGTGCTTCTTTTGAAAGAAGGCGTTCTTCAATGTAAAGAGGCCGTCTTCGAAAGAGAGCATCCAGACTCACTGGATGCTTTCTTTCGAAAAAGCAAGCCGCTTTTTCGAAATTTCTCCGTGCAGTCTAGACGCTCTCTTTCGAAGAGGCTCTTTCGAAAGAGGCTTGCAGTCTAGACATAGCCTCAGTTGTGTAAATCATTCTTGCCAGGCAGCAGGGGAAGTCAGCCTAAGGTACCAAATAACTGAGGGTAGGGTTGCCAGCTGTCCCGGACAGTCTAGTATTTGAGCTTTCTGTTCTGGGAAACATACTGAGAAAATATGAATGAGAAAATATAAATGTCCGGTATTAAGATAATAAGATGTAATGTAGATTGTGACGCAATGTTGTGTGTGTTTGGTATTTTTGTTGAAACCATCTGGCAACCCTAAACCAGGGTACAACAGTGGTCTGGACTGAATGCTAAGATGCTGCATTCAGTGGTAACTGGACGCCATATACATCTCTTGAGTGTATAATTTGATGGAGGAAATTCTCCAGCCCCAAAGTAGTGGACAGGGGTGAGTTTCTTTCCTTCAACACTGAGCTGGTAGTTTTTGGAGCAAACTAATCACACGCCAAATTATCACAGGTGATGTGTCTTATTTTCTGACTCCTGTCAAAATTTTTGCCTCAGTGCTTCTGATTACACTGAAAGCCACCCCCCCCACTTCTAGGAGAGATGAGTGTGAGAAATGCTGTTTTAGCTGTCTTGTCCCACCATAATCATATCAGGCCATGATGTCTGAGAATGAATTTATCAACACTAGTTGGGATGGTGGCCTCTGTTTGTCTGAAGCTTGGAATCAGGGGCGGACTGGCCCGGCGGGATACCAGGAATTTCCCGCTGGGCCGTCGTCTGGTGGGCCATCCTGTCTGCACGCCATTGCCCCTCACTCCGAACTGCTCCACATCCGCACTGTATGTGGCACGCAGAGCCCAACCCACCACTTGTGCCGGACATGACACAGGGGGCAGGGTTTGAGGGACACACAGGGGTGACGTCATGGGGAGGGCCATTCTCAACCTATTTCCCGGGTCTATTTTGATTGCCAGTACGCTCCTGCTGGGAAGTGGATCTCTTGATGATTGCCTTTTCCATTCATTCCCTCTGCAGCACCTGGTATTAGCCACCGTCAGGACACTGGGCTAGATGGACCTCTGGTCTGACACAGTGTGGCCTTTCTTATGTTTTTGTAAGGGCTGGAACCAGAGTGTGAA